CCCCGGACCAGACGGACAACCAGGAAGTCCAGGAAATCCAGGAAGCGATGGACAGCCTGGACCTGTGGGACCACCTGGAGACGCGGGTCCACCAGGAAATCCAGGACCTGCTGGAAACCCAGGGAGCCCTGGACAAGATGGAACTAGTGGAGCTGGCACTCCCGGACCTCCAGGACCTACAGGACCTCAAGGACCACCCGGTAACAGTGGAAGCTCAGGTCCCGCTGGGCAACCGGGAGACCGCGGAGCTCCTGGACCATCGGGACAACCCGGACCTCAAGGTGATGCTGGACTTCCTGGACAGCCCGGAGCTTCTGGAAATCCAGGTACTCCTGGAACCGATGGCGCCTACTGTCCTTGCCCACCTCGTAGTGCCGCCTATGTTGCTCGTCGCACTATTGCTCGTCGCACTGTTGCTCGTCGCAAACTCGCCAAGCATTAGACATCCATGAAACCTTTTTTTGCACAATTTATTTATTCATAGTCATTAGCGGGAATAAACATGGGGCTCAAGAGCTAAAAATGCAATGCGTGAATATAAAAGCAAATGATTAGAGTACCCCTTTTTTCAAATACTCCCTTACAATAATAAACATACTTGGCTGCAAACACAGAGCATCCCAAAAATGTATGTACTCCATCTCATTCTTAAATCCTTCCGAAAGGCCCAATTCTGGTCAAATTCGGCTTAAACCTTTGTAAGTTGTTTTTTCGCTAGGAAGTTCATTAAAATTAGTTCCTGAGTTTTTGTTCAAGCTTCTTGTGTTGTATAACTGGGTCTCGTAAAGTGAGCACAAACATTCCTAGATATAAAGGGTTGACGGAGGGAATTGGGGAGGGAGGGGGAAGAATATAATAAGCTGTACAAGTGCCATCTATAGCCTCCTTCGCTTCATTATAATTTTTTCAATAACAAGAAATCCTCAATTAATTTCTCACCACTGAGCAGCATAACTCGTCAGAAAGTTCCCCACTAAGGACTAATATAAGTGTTAGTCAGTTCGAGGGTATCACAAAGATTAAGGACCTATTGTTAATATAGCAAAACTAAACAGATCTCACTGTATCACATCTTCTAAATAAAGCTGCTTGTAAAGTTTTTTCTAGAAAAGGAGTCGGGACATTAGGGGCACATTTGAAGCCCCCTTATGCTCCCCCCTTAGTAAATATATAGCTTATTGCAGAAAGATTTATTTAGCTTTAGTGGGTGACAATGGATTCAAGCGATTCTCAGGCATCTCCGTCATCTTTACTGTAAACGACCGTTGTAGCATCACCTATCCTTCAAAAACTCAAGAAGTTTAATGCCTACGATTTCGTAGTTAGTGTGTACAGAAATGTTCAAAACGCTTGTCACTTTTACTAACGGTACTATATCAAAAGTATGACAATTACTGACATAATAACAACAAAAGAAAAACGTAACCCGCAGTGACAAGACCCATTTATGAAATATTCCGCAATAACTGGCATTCATTTTTTATGTTCTCAACATTTTCGCTTTCACTCCTTCACAGTAACCATAGAGATAAAGTCGATACAAGAATGCACCCATTACACTATCGCTTTTTGCAATCAAATAACCCAAACATCTAAAGCTTCTTTATGAAGATCGTATTTCAACATTATCTATTATTTTAAA